CTCTCTCTCTCTCTCTCTCTCTCTCTCTCTCTCTCTCTCTCTCTCTCTCTCTCTGTGTGTGTGTGTGTGTGTGTGTGTGTGTGTGTGTGTGTCCCGGGCGAGGCTTGAAGGCAGTACGGAACTTGTTGCGGGAGTGCAATTCTTAACGCAGATGAAGCTGTATCTTGTTGCTTCATGGCAACAGTGTAGTAGGAGGAAGTGACTCGACTGCTGACGCACGTGCACTCAGAGTGGATTGGTGATCTGGCATGGCGGGTATGGTCGGCGGTTCTCTCTTTCCTAAAGTCCGCTCTACATGAACCAGCGGGCAAGCTCTATTGGCAAATACCGTGCAAGGAGCTACATCTGAAGCCTTTCCTGTTGATGCCAAGCGGCCGCAAATCCCAGAGGCATAAAAAAAAAAAAAAAAAAACGGCTGCAGAATTGCGGTTGGTATCGTATGACTGCACAATTCCCATTTCCCAAAATCGTGTGGCGGCCTCAGCCATGTCTTTTCCGGATCGGGAACACGGTGCGACCTGGGCCACCACTAAAACCCCAAATTGGGCCTCCGAAATTTCTCATAAATTGGGGATCTGGTATCGCAGTGTGAGCGTGCCCTCAGGCCGGACCTGCAAGCACGCGGGGCCGTGACCCACTAGCGGGCGTTTAGTTTATGTTTCGTGTATTTTCCAACATGGTCACACTAGGGCCGTCAGATTTTCAGATCTGATGGCAAGGAGCCGTGCATGCAATAAAGGGTTGCTGACGTTGAAAGGGAACCGACCGGTCATGCGGGCGGTGTGGTTGCGGTCGTGGTAGAGGGTCGTGCGGTCGTGCGGTCTTGTTTCTAGTTAGGAAAGAAATTGTTATCTAGTCGTTCAGTATGCGTACAAAGACCCACATACGTATCTTTTTATTTATTTTTTTCCGATTTCTGAGTTATTTTCGTTGTTCTTTGGTTGTTTGTTTTTGCGTTTCATGTCGTTTTGTATTTTCCCTTTGATGTCCAGGTGTTCAGCACTTTCGCGTTCATCGTTTTTTCCAGTTTCATAGCATTTCTTTACCGCTCTGTCGCCGACTTTGATCTTTGTCGCGAGTTGGAAACATTCTCTACGGGTTCCGACATCATCTTTTTCTCGCGGCTAGCGGCTTCAAGTTTCATCATGTCGCAGGACCGGCGGAAGGATCCGGCAGACTCGTTCACAACTGCTAGACAAGGTCATAACACGAAGACGTTCGACTCGCCGTTCAAGGTCGACCCGGTGTGGCATTTCATAGCCAGAGGGCGTTATTTGGATGGGGCGACGGCGGCGAGTAGGAAGAACGGTCGTCGATGCCTGTGCAGGTTGTGCGGGCGTTCGATTTGTGGGGGCGCTAAAGCCGCCAAGGAACACTTCTCGAAGAGCGAGAAGTTCCGATGTGAGGCAGCCACTCCTGCTGTGTGGTATGCGATCTGGTTGAAGGACATGACGAAATGTCCGAAGGAGTTTGCGTCGGCCATAGAAACGTTGTAGAGCTTAGCGCCAGGCCATCCGAGCTTGCCGTGGCCACCGCTACAATACCCCGAGGACTCAGTGCCGACGCCGGTTGCTACCACCGCCCCTTCAGGACCGGTGGCTTCGCCCAATTCTGCGGCTCCAGCTGTTCGGGTCACGGTTCCGAGTCCCGCAACAACACGTTCGGCAACCCCGCCGTCTGCACCGCTCGCTGGGAACCAGGTGCTCTCGATGTGGAAGTTGGTCGGTCCGCGCCAGCCAACGAGCCCCCGCCTGTGAGGGATGGTGGAGGCTCTGCGGCATTTGACGAGGAGAACACACGTGCTTTTATTGAGAGTCGCCGGTGGGGGAGGGATGTCGGCACTTCAGCCGGACTCGCCCCTATGTTCAGGAGTGGCATACAATCACCTGCCGCACGGGGTGGTACTGCTGTGGCACCTGCCGCACCTGCCCGCTGTTCGTCGGAGCACCCTTGGTTGCCGCCTCCACCGTCGCAGGTGGCGCAGCGTCCGGTAGTCGACCACGTTCACGCATCCGCCCGCCCTGATCCTTCACACGTACCTGCAGATGCTCGACAATCTGCTTTCATTCCTCGTGTTGGGGAACAGGCGGAGCATGGGTTGCCTGCCGAGGACGATCCCCCTCCGGTGTCCGATTCATCGCCAACCTCGATTTAGACGACGACAGGTGCTGGTCGGTCTGCTCCACCCATCTTGACCGGATCATTAGATCCTTTGAAACGCATGCGCGACCTTGCAGCCGCCCAGAGCGCGGCACCTGCAAGTCCTGGCGGGTTGTTGGATGCTGGGGTCCTCGGCGGGCGAGCCACGACAGGACGGGGCCGGGGCACTTATCTGCAATAGGCCGTCACGTCATATTATTCGGACCCTTTCGAGCGCGCATGGCATCTGCAAATCATGCGGTTCATCGTCGAGAGTGGGATGCCGTTCAACTACACGAAGCTTGAAAGCTTCAAACGCATGTTCACTATGATCACCCCGCCGGGGGTTCCGGGGGCGCCCACGCCTAAACTTCCCTCCTACCACATGCTGCGCACGACCCTTTTGGACGAGCTGGATGGTGAGGTCCAGAAGTGTGTTCGGCCGGTACTTGACACGTCGAGAGAGACTGGTTGCACAATCATGAGCGATGGTTGGACCAACATCCGGGGGCAGACATTGTGTAACTACCTTGTCGGGACAGAAATTGGGGTAGCGTATGTGGCCACCGACGTCATGCGTGGCAAGAAGGATGTCAGTGCCCTCGCGACCGCATGGTTGAAAAGGGTGAAGTCCATGGACATTAACTTGAGCGACATCACAGTTTTCCTGACGGACTCCATCGGGGTGAGCGTCGAGGCGATGGAGGTTTCCAAAAGGATGAGAGTGTGAAACACATCTTCTGGATTCCTTGCGTCGCCCACATCATGGACCTCATTCTCGAGGACATCGGCGGGATTGATTGGGTGGCTTCCCGCATTCCGCAAGCGAGGCTGGTGACAAGGTTCTTCAAGTGCCATGGACATGTGAGAGAGGTTCTTGAGGCGTACTCGAAGAAGACTCTTTTGCGGTCGGTGGAGACCCGTTTCGGCACGAACGTCATCATGATGACGAGGCTGGTGAAACTGCGGGCGAAGTTGACACAGGTTGTAGGCGACGATCGCTGGCGTGAGACTGTTTGGTCGACCAGCAAGATTTGTAAGGACACCGCGGAGGTCACTGCGTGTATCGGCTCCCCTCCATGGTGGGAGGATTCGAGAGCTTTGTGCAAGATGCTTGAGCCCATCATGGACATGCTGAGGTTGGTGGACAGCGACACACGCCAGATCAGCAAGATTCTGCGACGTTACGAGGAGATGATTGCATCTTGTTTGTCCGCATGTCGTGACATTGATCAAGACCAGCAGGACGCTATTGTGGAGGTGTTCCTCAGGCGGCGCACCATGTTCAAGACCCCCGCTCACACGGCAGCCATGATGCTAGATCCAGAGTTTCAGGACGCGACGTTGTGTGACGATGCGGAGGTGTAGCAGGCCTTGGTCGAGGCCCTGGTCCAGTTCAGCTACCCAGAGGGATCGCCGCAGCACCAGGAGGTCCAACGAGCGGTCGCCAAATTCCACACGAGGGAGCCTCCTTTCAATGAGCTCACCATGCGGCGAGCTATGGATACCTTCGATCACCCTGCCAGTTTTTGGTCCTCGAAGAAGGCGAAGTTCCCTCACACGGCAGTGTTTGCAGGCAGGATCCTTCGTATCTGGGCGACTGCATCACCGTGCGAGAGAGTCTGGTCTCGTTGGAGCTTCATTCATTCGAAGTCTCGCAACAGGTTGGAGGTTCCCCGGGTTGAGAAGCTTGTGCGGTGCCACTAGAACCTCAGGCTACTCGATCAACCTTCGTTGTGCGACGATGGTGCTGGAGAGAGGCCCACCATCTTCGGGAAATGGATGCATTATTGGCAGGTCATGGAGGATGAGGCGGCCGTGGACCAGCAGCTCGTTAGAGGCACCGGTGCGCTGGCAAAGGTGACTGAGGAGGAGTTGAGCCTCGCCAGAGAGAGGATGCGCGCCGTTTCCCGCATGGGAGCCGAGCGTCGGGTGGCGGAGTCGGACAGGAGGGGACGCAGGGCCGGAGGTCAGGGACGTGGCGGCCGTGGGCGAGCGGGTGTGGGAGGACCGACACGTGGCGATGTGCGTTTTGCTTCTCGGACTCGGCGACAGCGGGCGGACGGACACATTCGCAGGGCCCGCATGCGTTGGGACGAGGGAGACTTCTTGTTCGATAACACATCCAGCGACGACGACGATTTCTTTGCGTTGGGCATACATGCGGCCATGGACGATGATAGAGGCGGTGGTGGAGGCGACGGTGACGACGTAGGGGATGGTGACGGTCCTGGCGACACTTACAGGGCAGGTGACGGTGGACGCAAGGACGTACGATGTGATGGCGGTGACAGAGGCGGGGGGGGGGGGGGGGGGGGGGGGGGGGGGGGGGGGGGGGGGGGGGGGGGGGGGG